GTGTATATTTGTAAATTACCCTTATTATTCCAAGCAAGATAATATTTTGGATTTATGGAAATAGCTTTGTCGTAGCACTCAATAGCTTCTTAATATTTGTTCAATTTATGTAAGGTAAAGCCTAAAGAATATTGCTTAACTATTATTTACCCTTATTTAACCAAGCAATATCAAATGTTTGATTAATGGAAATAGCTTTGTCATAACACTATATGGCTTCTAAATATTTATTTAGGCTTTTTAATAAATAACCTAAAAAATAATGTATAGTTTTTAACTACCCTTATTTTTCCAAACAGTAGCAAATATCGGATTTATGGAAATAGCTTTGTCGTAGCACTCAATAGCTTCTTAAAATTTATTTAATTAATATAAGGCAAAACCTAAATAATTTAGCCTATCTTTATTTACCCTTATTTGACCAAGCAATATCAAATGTTTGATTAATGGAAATAGCTTTGTCATAACACTATATGGCTTCTAAATATTTATTTAGGCTTTGTAATGCATAGCCTAGATAATAGTGTTTATTTGTTAATTACCCTTATTATTCCAAACAGTATCTTATTTTGGATTTATGGAAATAGCTTGGTCATAGCAATCAATAGCTTCTTAATATTTATTTAATTTACGTAAGGCTAAACCTAAATAATATGGTTTAACTGTTATTTACCCTTATTTAAACAAGCAGTAAAACACTTTGGATTAATGGAAAGTGATTTGTCATAACACTTAATTGCTTCTTCATATTTATTTAGAGCACTTAATGCCTAACCTAAATAATAGTATGTAACTAATATATACCCTTACTAATGAAAGCAACAACATTTCTTGGTTTTTAAAAAATAACTTTGTCATAGCACTCAATTGCTTCTTAAAATCTATTTAATTAAAATAAGGCAAAGGCTAAATAATAAAACCTAACAATTAATTACCCTTATTTTACAAATCATTTTCAAAATTTTTATTAATGGAATAAGATTCGTCGTAACACTAAATTGCTTCTTAATATTTATTTAAACAAATTAATGCATACCCTAATTAATTATGTTTAACTGTTAATTACCCTTATGACTCCAAAAAGCAGGTTATTTTGGATTAATACCAATAGCCTTATCATAGCACTCAATTGCTTCATAATATTTCTTTAATCTACTTAAGGCCATTCCTAAAATAAATTAAATTGATGCATACCTTCATCAAAAAATCTATTAATTTATATAAATTATGTAAGGTAAAGCCTGAATAATACAATCTAACAAACAATTACCCTTATTATACCAAGTTACATAAAAATTAGGATTTAAGGTAAGAGCATTATCATAGCATTAAATTGCTTCTTAATACATTTTCAGACAATTTAAGATTAAACCTAAATTACATAATATCACTTTACCTTTATTATTCCAGACACAATCACATTTTGGATTCATGGAAATAGAATGGTCATAACACTCAATTGCTTCCTAAAATTTATTTAATTTATTTAAAGCAAAACCTAGATTATAAGGTTTAACTGTTTATTACCCTTATTTGACCAAGCACTATCGTAATTAGGATTAATTGAAAGAGCTTTGTCATAGCACTAAATTGCCTCTTAATATTGATTTAGAAAATTTAATGCATAACCTAAATAATAGTGTTTATATGTTGATACCCTTATTGTTCCAAGCATTAATATATTTTGGATTTATTTAAATAGTTTTATCATAGCACTCAATAGCTTCTTAATATTTATTTAATTTATGTAAGACAAAGCCTCAATAAAATAATTTAAAAATAAATACCCTTATTTAGCAAAGCACTTGAATTTTTCGGTTGTATGGATATAACTTTCTCGTAGCATGCATAGGCTTCTAAAAATCTATTTAGTAACAAATTTTTGATTAATGGAAATAGCTTAGTCATAACACTAAATGGCTTCTAAATATTTATTTTGGAAATATAATGCATAACCTAAATAATAGTGTATATTTGTAAATTACCCTTATTATTCCAAGCAAGATAATATTTTGGATTTATGGAAATAGCTTTGTCGTAGCACTCAATAGCTTCTTAAAATTTGTTCAATTTACGTAAGGTAAAGCCTAAAGAATATTGCTTAACTTTTATTTACCCTTATTTGACCAAGCAGTAACAAATTTTTGATTAATGGAAATAGCTTAGTCATAACACTAAATGGCTTCTAAATATTTATTTAGGCAATGTAATGCATAACCTAAATAATAGTGTATATTTGTAAATTACCCTTATTATTCCAAGCAAGATAATATTAAGGATTTATGGAAATAGCTTTGTCGTAGCACTCAATAGCTTCTTAAAATTTATTTACTTAATATAAGGCTAAACCTAAATAATATGGTTTATCTTTATTTACCCTTATTTGACCAAGCAATAAAAAATTTTTGATTAATGGAAATAGCTTTGTCATAAAATTAAATTGCCTCTAAATATTTATTTAGGCTATGTAATACATAACCTAAATAATTGTGTTTATTTGTTAATTACCCTTATTATTCCAAACAGTATCTTATTTTGGATTTATGGAAATAGCTTGGTCATAGCAATCAATAGCTTCTTAATATTTATTTAATTTACGTAAGGCAAAACCTAAATAATATGGTTTTAATGTTATTTACCCTTTCTTATAAGAGCAGAAGAACACTTTGGATTAATGGAAAGTGATTTGTCATAACACTTAATTGCTTCTTCATATTTATTTAGAGCACTTAATGCCTAACCTAAATAATAGTATGTAACTAATATATACCCTTACTAATGAAGGCAACAACATTTCTTGGTTTTTAGAAAATAACTTTGTCATAGCACTCAATTGCTTCTTAAAATCTATTTAATTAATATAAGGCAAAGCCTAAATAATAAAATCTAATAATTAATTACCCTTATTTTACAAATCATTTTCAAAATTTTTCTTAATGGAATAAGATTCGTCGTAACACTAAATTGCTTCTTAATATTTATTTAGACAAATTAATGCATACCCTAATTAATTATGTTTAACTGTTAATTACCCTTATGACTCCAAAAAGAAGGTTATTTTGGATTAATACCAATAGCCTTGTCATAGCACTCAATTGCTTCATAAAATTTCTTTAATCTACTTAAGGTCATTCCTAAAATAAATTAAATTGATGCATACCTTCATCAAAAAATCTATTAGCCTCTTAAATATTTAATTGCTTGTTATCTTCAATTTAAGATTCTTTTTATCCTATTTTATGATCATTTTAATTGCTAGAATTGAAGTCATCGTCAGCTTTATTTTAACCTGATGCCATATTCTATATTGAATTAAGATATTATTCAATTATATTATTTTAATTTGTTTGAATACATTATTTTATTATATGATAAATCAATTAGTTAAAGATACATTTGGATAATTCTTTTTCCTTAGAATAAAACTACTTGACTTTTTTAAAATATGATGTAAAGGTCGAGTATTCTTTATTAAGAAGTTGCAGTGTCATATTTTCCTATATTCCAATTTCCTGATCCATTTTTTTTAAATCTATTCCAAAATGTTTTCTATTTTTTTTGAGATTTATTTAAATTCTTGGTCAAGTTGATTGTAAACTTGCTTGAATTCATTCAGAATTAGATCCTTTTAGTGAATTGAATACAATCATTAAATGTTCATAATGAGTAGTATTTAAACATTCCAAACAATATTTTGTTTCGTTCTAACAATTTTGATTCATACAAAACCCAATATTGCTACATTTGAATGATTCAGGTTTTTACATTTAATGTTTTCCATTACAATGAAAAAGAACTATATAATTAATTAATTATCTTTCATACTCAAAATATCTAAAATTATGATGAAATGCTAATTAAAATATAAGTCGGCTGATTTATCACACTTAGTATAATTGTTAACAAACAATTAAATTAAGTTAATTATTTAGGAATTATCAAATTATGCAAGAATAAATTATTAATGATCTAAATTATTAAAATTTAAACTTTTATATTAAAGTTGTTGGGATGTTTTATATTCCTCTCTTTAGTTGTTAAGCTATTCTTCAAATTATCAAAGAAATTTTTATGAAATTTCAATATCAGTTTACAAAAGCCTTAAGGTCATCCTTCAATCATTTTTATTACAAATCACAAAAATTAAAAGTAAATGAAAGAAGTTTTTAGTATAAACATGATTAATGTATCAAAAGTATGTAAAAATATCAACAAAGAAAACAACACTTAAATAAAACTTCATTCTATTTATAATTTAGATTGGGATAATCGAAAAAATTCATGTATATTTGATTTTAAAATAGCTTAAGTTTGTAATTGTAGCTTGATGACATATAAATAACAGATAATATTCCTTTATCAATTTGCGATTATTCTGTATTGCTAATTGATAAAATTATATATTTATAATTGCTGCTTAAATCTAGAAGGAGAAAAGATCATTAGTAAGATAAATATAGTAAAATATTAAAAATGAAAAACATGATATAAATATAACAATTTGCCATATTGATAAGGGCGAGATGCACTTACCCATTAACAAGTTTTAGAGATTCTTTCAAGCAACTAATCTATTTTTTACATTTTGCGAAAAAAATTTTAAGATATGAGGATTAATTTACTATTAGGGATACAATTATTATAATTCTACTCTATAAACAATTTCTTCTCTTATTGCTCAATTATTTATTAAATTTCTAAACATCTCAAATCTAATTTGAATTTTATTTATATAATTATTTCCTAATTCTAAATTTGCTTTGATCATTTTCAAATTAAGAAGATTTAATATATTCTTTTAATTTTTCTTATCTTCATTCTTAATTTTCGACAATTTTCCCATTTCTTTCTTAGTTTTATTATGAGTAGGATTACTAAATCTTTCATAATAATAATCGGAGTTTCGTCTCATTTTCTATTTCTTCTACTCAATTTTGAATATTACTTATAAAAAGAAAAATTGCGCATAGAACTAAGATACTTTGATTTGTTTATACTATAGAAAAATCTTTATCTCTAATTACATATATTTATTTTTAGAAATAAATTTCCGATACATTTAGGAACGATATAAAAATATGAGATTTTCTAAGCAAGTTTTGTGACAACCTTAACTTACATGCTTAAAACCAAGTATGAATACTTAAGTTCACTTTTTACACCTGAAGCATAAATTTCAATCCAAGTAGAAATAACTTCAGAGGGTTTTCATAGGAACATGATTCTGATTTAACTCATCACTATGATTTATACTCTATTGTAATTAAGTCATAAGTAAAATAGATAAAAAAATTCACAACATTATGAATATAATAATAAATAGTAGTTCTAACAACTATTCAAATTTGTTTCCAGGCTGTTTTGAAGTTGGCATTATTAGAAACATTTTAATTAAAATGTATAAACCACAAATGATAGAAAAAGAGAAAGATTTTATTTGTTCAATGACACATTAACACCAATTAGTACAGTTGTTTTAAGTCATAAATTTGATCTAAATAAAAGATTCCTATGCCATCAATATTTTGAGTACTTTGAGTCATATGAAAAGATAATAGGATTTAAAAAACTCATCGAAATAATTGAAGATAATAAGAAAAAATAATTAGAATGCTTGGAAAATAGTATCGCACCAATTATAACAAAAATTAAGTCACTTTAAGGTCATCTTAATACTTTGAAGTCCTATCTTTTTTTATGATTAGATCAATTAATAGGGAACGCAAAGGATTGGATAACAAATTTATAATCCATAGTTTAAAAATATTCAGAGTATAGTCTCCATAAAGAATTAGATATCATGATTATGAGCTAAAATACAGGTGAAAATAATCAGATAAATTAAGTAAATTAGATTAAATAATTAAATGATTCCTTGTACAAAAAAATTAATAATAAGTTGGATTCATTAAAGTAATTTGAAGAATAACAAAATTGTCAACAAATATTAAAGGAATTATCATCCTAATTAGAATAGAACTTCAATCTAAATATTAATGAAAATCAGGAAAATACTAATTAAGCTCTAATAAGACTTAATAGTAATTGAGTCCATGTGGACTGTAATTTATGAATGATTCAGTTAAATAAGCTGAAATATGTTAAGCAATTGTGTTTGATCTAACAGGGAAGATTATGGTTGCAACTAGTAAAGAGGATATTAAAATTTTGAGTTTTGAAAATGCAAATATCAAATTAGCACATGCACTTCTAGGACATTAAAAGATCATTAATTGTCTTGTTTTTAGTTAGATTGGGGATTATTTTTTTTCTGGATCTGATGATCGATCAATTATATTTTGGAAATCCTTAAATAATAAATGGTAAAGCTGTTAGACTTATTGTATAGTGGCGAAGTAAATTGTATTATCTTAACATAAAAAGAAAATTAATCTTCTTTTTATGTTAAGATAATACAATTAAAGTTTGGAGGGTAGATTATGAAAATAATAATATATCGATTCTCTATTCTTTAGAGAAGCATAATTCTTCTATTTTATTATTAAGTTTAAATGAATCAGAAAGAGTTTTAGATTCAAGTCAAAGTGATTAAATTATAATTTGGCGAAAAGCATTAAATAATCAGTAGATGTTCTAGTAGGGTGTTACAATGATTGAAAATTTATCATTAAATAATTTTTAAGTATAAAAAATACTAAATCAAATTAAATTAATGGTATTTTTAGTTTTAAATGGATATTATTTTGTAAATTACAATTAATATAAGTTATCAAAAGAAGAATTTGGAAAGCATAAAATTTTTAAAAGAAGATTAATTTATATGGCTCCAAGAAAAAATAATAGTCTATGTGTATTTGAAAATGTAGATGGTTTATATTAAGAAAATATCAGGAAAAGAGTGTAATTGAATAAAAGTAATAAATTTTATTTGAATATTAAACTTTTTCCTATAATTTATAATAAAGCTAAAAATCTTCTATGCTTATATACATATAGGCGATTTACATGATTAAAGTGCAAAATGATCGTAATTTATCAATAATTAACTAATTAAATTGCAATCATTGGGAAATATATGGAACAGTACCAAATAATGGTCTAGGATGATCCTTTTAAAATTACAATCTGATAATTCTAAACTGAAAAATTCGGAACATTCTATTATTTTTTTGAAATAGGAACACCAAAATTGATCTCTTTTAAAAAACGTTTTAAATAAATTATCACCATATATTTATCTTTTAAATAATCCTTTGTTTTTTAGAAATCATTATCCTATCAATCTATCAATGATATCATTTCTATATACATTAATATGTCACAGTATTCAAAATTGGAAGACTTAATCCTCAACCTTCATTGCTCCAATTAAATTGATTATCACAAATAAATTTAACTTAGAAAAGAGTTAAATTTCATTTATACTAATTCTTTAATTTTAAATATTTGTTGAATTAAAATGAAATGCATTTCCAGAAATTTGGTAAATGTCTTTAACAGATTATTATTTTAGATTAATTTAGGTCTTATTTAAATCAAAAATTAAGGCTGTCAATAGGAAACATGAGATTATTTTAGATGGCTTTTGAATCTTAAAGTTTCTATAAATCAAAGGATTAAGGGATCTGAAGTTAAAAATAGATAGCTATGAATCAGATAGACGATGAGAATTATTTAAAAACAATTAAATTTCCCTTAAATTAAAAATATAGTTTTGCCTTCTCACAATTCTGTATTGCCCTAGCTTTTACATCATTAATAACTAATCTATATATAATTAATATATTTAAATATCAACCAGATATAGAATGATGACTGGTACATGTTATTACATGATTAATTAAAGTGAGTTTCAACATTTGAATTTAATCTACTTATTAATAAAATGAACTAGAAATGACTTCCTAATCTGCATAAAAGTACTCATATCTATTCGTCAATGTATATTTCTGTCTTTATCAAACTACCCTCATAATTGAGTTTGCACTTTACTGAAGGTATTATCAGTATGATTCTACAATTAAATCTTATTGGTGTCAACTACTCAAATTACGTTCTGACAATATTCAAAATCTGTACTCTAGACTTTTTTAAGCGAAATTAACAATAAACCAAGAGTAAAAGTTTTTGCATTTAGCTGTATGCGAGCCAATCAAGTAGGTCATGACAATAATTGAAAAATTGAAAATTTAACGATGTAATATATTGAAGTTATTCAATCTTATTATTTATCAATAATCTTCCCATACTAATAATTTTTAATTTTTTGAAATCAACTTATTATAATTCGTCTTTTTTAATCATTTATTAAAATAAGCTTAATAATATTGTTTTAATATTACTTCGAAATCATAAAATCGCTATCCTCAAAATCATTACATTTATACAAATAGAATTCGATAATTTAGAACAAACTGATATTAATTGACTAAATTTTATTAAGAAATATATATCTAGTTGTTTATAATTAACATATTAATTAAAAGTAATAGAGAAATGAATAAGAATATTGGAATAATAAATGATGCTTATTAATAAAAGCTTATTGAATGCTTCGAATTGGCATAAAATCAAATAAATGTAATATTAAACAATAAACTAGACTTCATTCAATAAAATCGACTCTTATTTAGATTTATTTCTTAATAACAACTCTGATTCATTAAATATAAAGAAAATTGAAAAAAAACCTTTGTACCTATCCTTGACTTACCTTAAACAAAATTTGAGAATTCAAACTTTGTTTAATAATTATGTTTAGCCATATAACCCTTAATCCAACTTAATCCCAACAATCAAATAAAACTGAAGGATTTATCATTAAACGAACCATAAACAAATCAAGAAATAAAATCACTCACTAATAAATCAAATGGGAAAACCTACACTTATCAACTAATTCAACAATATTCAATTTCATCTAATGATTGGTGTGGTGCAATAGCTATTAATAAAGATTGCTCAATATTATTGGCTGGATGTAATAAACAAATTAAAGTATTTGAATTCAAGTAAGATATGATCAAGCAAACTTAAATTTTAGGTGAACATAAAGATTTAGTATATACTCTCAACTTTATGAAGAAATCATATTAGTTTATATCTGGGAGTTGTGATAAATCTATCATTATATGGTAGTAAAATGAAAATAATTAATGGGTTTCCAAATACATATTAAACGGACATTGTAATATTATTTATTGTCTATTATTAAATAGTAATGAAGATTTAATTGTATCAGGAAGTGAGGATAATACAATTAAATTCTGGATGAAAAGAGTGAATGGTAGTGTTAGTAAACAATTAAAGAACATTCCGGATCTGTTTTTGATTTGAGTTTTAATTAATAATAAAACAGAGTTGTCTCTTGTAGTAGGGATAAATTAATATTCATAATGGAACAATAATTTTAGAATAAGGAATGGGTTGTAATATAAAAGATTGTAGTTGAATAATATGGATATAGATTATGCTTTATTGATAATAATATGTTTACATTCTCATAGCATGACAAATTATAGATCTCTATTAATGAGATGAACAGTGGAAGTCAATAGTTTACAAAGACGAGAGTTATTCATATAAAATGTAGATAAGGTGATGATTGTTTATTTCCTTAATAATATATAAATTCAAAATGTATCCTTGTGAGTAAATATGGCTAATAAGTCAATTTAATAAGCAAGTAATTAAATGGAGAGTTCGCAACTGAATAATCTATAAATTTTAATACAAATTCATTATTTGGAAATATGAGTGATGATGGAGAGTATTTGATTACTTGGTATAATAACTCAAAGTAAATCCAAATCAGAAGATATCAAGAATAATGAGAATTATTAATATTAATTAACATTACGAAAAAAAAATTACATTTTTTTTATATTTACAGAAGCTTAATGAAAATAAAATCTCAATAGTTGAAATTAAAAAATGGGCTTGCATGGCACTCTCTTTATTTATTATAATTTTTATAAAATTACATTCTGAAAG